GGCCATGGCTGCACAGGAGTTACGCTGGCTCACCTACCTGCTGACTGACTTGGGAGAGCAGCCTCGTTCGCCTCCAATTATGTACGTAGACAACAAGGTCATGATTGCCTTGTGTCAGGAGCATAGACTGGAGCACAGAACGAAGCACATCGCTCTGCGATACTTCCTTGCTCGAGAGTTGCAGCAGCGTGGTCAGCTTCATCTTGCTTACGTGGCCACTAGGGCCAACACTGCTGATATATTCACCAAGGCACTTCAGTCTGGTGATCATCAGCGCTTCTCTACTGTGTTAGGTCTTGTGCCTACTTTGCCTCACTTGCTCACTGCGTGACTTTGCTTGTACTGTGAAATATATATATATATATATATATATATATATATATATATATATATATATATATATATATATATATGCCTGTATGCTTACACTTGCTAGGTTATGATCACTGTACTGTTTGTTCTCTTTTATATAACCCTGCATGTGAACTGGCCTTGTGGTCATTTGCTTGTGCTCAGAATGTGTGGTGACTTTGTGATCCACCCTGAGCTTGCTTTGATTTTCTTAACTGGTCTCGTTTTATTCTTCTTACAAATTCTTGTTCTCACACTTGACCAGCACTGGAATTCCAGTCTTCTGCTGCATAGTATTAGAAGGACTAAGATCTAAAAGATCCTAAGGCATTTCTCAGTTCAAAACTGTCCACCAAATGAATCCAATGTAACTTTAACAAATGAGAGAAAGAAGCGGGCATACGCCCGCTCACCGTTCTCAGACAACTTGCATGATTTCGATACACAGTTTAGGAGAGGGCGGTCTCGCTGTATCAGCTGAACTCATTTTCAGCATTGGGATGTAAGTAAATATATATACATACATATAGAAGGCAGAATAAATATCCAGAGTTGACGATTATCGTCTATACTTGCAAAAGATACATCTTGCAAGGAGTGTGCACACTGCACAATCCAGAATATGATGGTTCGTAAGTTACAGTTTTTATGTATAGTGTAATTTTGGGAAAATATGTCACAAGTAACCAACATGAGACTCGATAACGTGAATTGTAAAAAAGTAACGCATACGGTCACTGTATCGGGTTTGCTGACATGTTTGGTAAGTGGGGTCACGGATTCAGTAACTAACAACAGGTGAAAAATTACGCAAATTGTCATACATGTAACTCCCGCCAAAATTTCTTGAAACTCTACAAAATTCCCGCTCGCGCCCAACCAATCAGCTAATTTCTCAAAATACTAAAACCCAATCGGAATCGGATGCGGTTTGGGAACGGATTAACCCTAAACACCTGGCGAGTTGTGTTTAGGGTTGATTCATCCGAAAATGCATCCAGGTTCGTTTTGGGTATTATATTTTTTGGGCGGGAGTTTCATCTGTGACCATTCGCGTTATTTTTTCCCAGTTGATTGTGACTGATTCCGTGAAACGTTTTATCAAACACGTGAAAAAACCCTTTGCAGTGACCTTACCCGTTATTTTTTTACCAAATATATTATCGAGACCCTTGTTGATTACGAGTGGCATTTTCTCCCTTTAATTTTGCCGCCCGCGAGACTGGTTCTTCAGCCTCCAGCTTGCAGGCCTGACGCCACAGAGTTATAGCTTGAAACCCACCCAAACCTTAAATCGATGGGCAAGTTCTAGAGGTTGCTTCGGAGTTGATGTTTACTGTCGGTATCTCCTTTCTAATGCTAGCCTTTTGGCTTTCAGTGGATAAAATGTCCTTATTCATCGAAAATACTCCAGCAGATTGTCATGGTTCAGTACTGGCGCTTAGTAGGTTCATCCGCATGAGAGTTCCGCTAAAATCGTCTCTGTTGGAAGGACAGACGGTGTACAGTCTGATGCACGCGCAATCTTCTGGCATTCCCTGGACCTGTGGTTGGCGGATCCCCCCTCGTGCCAGCTTGACTGCTTTGCTGTCCCCAAGCACCGTTTGCGAGTCAGTGGGTGAAAGGTCCCCCCGATTCATTCTTATCAATCGATGCCCTCCTATCAAAATCTTCAAATTGCCACACATATGGGAACCAGTTCTAGAGGGTCATGAGTCATGACATGATCTGAAGGTAAACGTTGGACATCGAGCTGACTTTCGGGGTAACCATGGGCCACGGCTTCACCCAGATACATAAGGTTTCCTTGATCAAACCAAGCATATGCGGGTTTTAGAGTGGCTTGCTATGATTTTCGGGGGTCAAATGTTTGTACGATGTGGCAAATTGCAATTCACAAGGCACTCCCTTGCATGGTCCCAGGTCCCAACCAAAGCAGAATTTCCAGCATTGAGGTTCTTTTCTAGTTCACGTTCACTTTCACCCCCCTCCTTCTCGGATCTCGCTCTGTCACAGCCATGAGTCATGGCTGTACGAATGAACTCTGGAATCACGACTTCCCACTGTCTGTGCACCAATTTTCGTACCTCACTCACATCAGAGCTTGCTTATGAGCTTTGCATGAGCTGAGAGCTCATGGCAAGAGCTGTCAGCCAGTAGTCGAAGGCCGGGATTCAATTTCCCAGCTCAAAACCTCAGACAGACCAGCAGGAAAAGCACAACGATATGGTGGCGCTGGCCTGAGTTAAGCCGTGCCTTTCCGAGTCAACGTTGACGTAACTGAGGATTTTTTTTAGCAATGCCACATCCAATCCTGTACTAAGTGCAAGCCCTAGTCCTCTTAACCCCAACTCACAGTTTGCCTACAGTTGTGACCTGTCAGCGTGATTCGCTGTGACTCAGGCAGATCCATTCAGCATCGTCGCCGGACTTGCTTTCTGCATTTTGAAATAGCTGTCCGGCATGTGAATCCGTCTGGCTATTCGTAAAGGTCTTTCACCGTCAAAGTGAGGCCTTGTACAGGAAACCAGCAAATGGCATCGCACCGTCCCTCTAGCTTTCCTTACTGCCGTTACTACCACGCAATGCGCGACGTCATCATCGCAATATGCGACGTCATCTCAATGTGCGATGTCCCCGGCGCTGTCGTGGGACCGTCTCACAACCTTGAAAATGGATCTACGTCGCATATATGACTCCCTAGTCGGTGTCAAAGTTCTAACTGCTGAAGCTTCTGGTGGGTGCTGCCATGTGTTGTTAGAAATCCTAGAAATCCTCAGGTGGTCTCATGTTTCAATTATTAGTAGTCCTCCGGAGCTTGTGGAAGGAGAGATGAGAGCTACGCAAAAGAGCCAGTAGAAGTTTACTCAGTTTCAGTAAGGTGGCCGTTGGGGGATTACTCGTTTTAATATTCTCTAATTTAATTCGTGTCTTTCTTTCATGCTTTTTTTCCAAAGAAGCTTGAACGCTCCAGAGTACCGATTTCCATTCCTGGGAAAGGAACTGCCAAACTCACAGCAGCATGAGCACATCAGCTGGACGAACCAATCTCGACAGAAGTGACTCAGACTCAGAGAAGCAAGGCGGCGATGATCTTCATGGAGCTGGCCAGGAGTCTGCGAACCATGCGGAGACGTCTAGTAGTAAGCTTGTTCATTCTCATGGCGTCCCGTCAGACGTCTTGGAGCTAGGGTTTGGAGCACGGACCCATCATCTCAGTGAAGAGCACGCGAGAGAGAACCAGAGTGCTCCTGCTGCTGCTGCTGCTGCTGCTGCTGCTGGTCATCATCATCATGGTTTTCCTCTTCATGCCGTCATGGCATCGCCTGCTCCTGCTCCCAGCACGGCCATTTCACCACGTGATTTTGACATTGATTTGAGCAAGGACCTTTATGAACCACCACCAAGAGCAGCAGCACCAGCAGCCATTGAAGCAGAACCAGAAGGAGCAGCAGCAGCAGCGCCTACACCATATACCAGCACGAGCTTATTGAATGGACTTGATAGACCAACCCTTAACCTTGCTGGTGTGGGGGATTCATCTGAGTATGTGGCAGCAGCTGCTGGAGCACCAGGGTCTGTTTCAGGTCGGTCTTTGACTGCTATGGCTGTTTCCCGTGTCATCACACCAGCTATTAATCTTCATGCCGTGGTGGATTCCGCTGATGACGACAGAGCCGCGGCTGCAGCAGCAGTTGCTGCGTTTTCTAAAGCACAGGCGGAGTCTCTAAAGCTCATGGCGTCCTTCTGCTCTATTATCCCCAGTCCCACGCCGCTTCAGACACTGCAGCAGTCGCCGCCGCAGCAGCAGCAGCAGCAGCAACAGCAGCCCTCAACCCTCTACAGCTCTCATTTTCCAAGACCCGACACAAACATTCTCACAGCGAGTGCTGCTGTAATACGGCCCAGTCCTCTAGAAGCAGGTACATCCGCTCCAGACATAAACGCACGTCAGGATCAGCAACTACTCACTCACCAGTGGCAACCACGACAGGCTACAGCCACAGCAGCAGCACTCCGTGGTTCCGGTAACAGCAGCACCAGCATGCTTCGGCCCGGGCAATCAACACCACAGGTTCCAGCCGAAGCAGCACTACTTGGCAGTTCCGGCAACAGAAGTGGTATCACGTTGCACGGTGGGCCTTCAACAAGACAGCAGTTTTCTCCAGCAGTGACACTCGGAGGTTCTGCGAGCAGCAGTGGTAACATGCAACGTGCTGGGTCTTCAACGGCACGGGGGATATTTTATTGGGGATCGCCTCCAAGGCAGACGGGGTCTACTTGGGGCACTATTTCGGATACGGGGGAGCTGGAGAGGCCTTCTGGTGTAATTTCAGAAGCATGTTTGGTTGGAGCTTCAGGTAGAGATTCAGGTGGTTGTTCAGGTGGACCTTCCGTTGATCCTTTAGGTGGTCCCTCAGGTCGTCCTCCAGGTGGACTCTCAGGTGGTCCCTCAGGTGCACCATCAAGTGGACCTTCAGCTGGACCCTCAGGTGGTTTTTCAGGTATTCCCTCAGGTTGTCCCTCAGGTACCAGTCCTAGAGCTGTGGTCATGATGGTTGATTTGAACAAGCCTCCAACAGCTTTCAGTTTCCAGGAGCCGGGATTTCAAGCTGAGCATAATTTTACAGACCCAGTCCCCCTTCCGTTTAATCCCGAAGCTGCTCAAGCTACCCAAGCCACAGAAGTTACAGAAAATCCCCAACCTATCCATTCACCAGTACCAGCAACGTCACTTGTTGTTCCTACGCGGGCTTTTGCTGCAGCTCCCTGGGCAACCGTGCAACCAGCAGCAGCCCCAGGAGCGGCTCCAGCAGCAGCGCCTTTATCACCAGCAGCAGCTCCCTGGGCAGCCGTGCAACCAGCGGCATCAGGGCGCTTTTTGTGCCCTTTGACTCGGCCCATGTCAGCCCCGCTCCCGCCAGCAGCAGTCTCACCCACAGGGGGATCAGCGGCAGCACCTTCACCACTAGCAGCAGTGCCAGTGACAGGACCATCAGCATCATCAGCAGCAGTTCCGCTAGCAGCACCGTCAGGGCGCTTTTCGTGTCCTTTGTCCCGGCCCATGTCAGCCCCGCTCCCGCCAGCAGCTGTCTCACCCACGGGGGGATCAGCGGCAGCAGCAGCGCCATTAGCAGCAGTGCCAGTGGCAGGACCATCAGCATTATCAGCAGCAGTTCCGCTAGCAGCACCGTCAGGGCGCTTTTCGTGTCCTTTGTCCCGGCCCATGTCAGCGCCGCTCCCGCCACCAGCTGTCTCACCCACCGGGCCAGCAGCAGCAGCAGCAGCAGCAGCACTATCAGCAGGGCCATCAGCAGCAGGACCATCATCATCATCATCATCATCATCATCATCAGCAGCAGCAGCAGCAGCAGCAGCAGCAGCAGCAGCAGCAGCAGCAGCAGCAGCAGCAGCAGCAGCAGCAGCAGCAGCAGCAGCAGCAGCAGCAACACCAGCAGCGGCATCAGCGTCAACAGCACCGCCCTTCCCTCCCGCATCCCCCGGAAGCAACCCTTTGGGAAAAAAACGGAGTTGGAAAGAATACTCCCTCTTTAACATTTCAAGGCTCGACAACTCTCGAGCTGCACTCTCCGCCCCAGCCGTTACCACCAACACTTTCAGCAGAAGCAGCACCAATCCTCTGTTCTCGTCATCCGCTCGCCCCACCCCTGTCACCACCGGAAGAAGAATGATTGCCTCTCAGAGTGCGCCGCTGCTAGAGGAGAGGACCATTGCGGCTGTTACTGCCGCTTTTGCTGCCTCTGCTTCCCTTGTGACGGCTGATGCTTCTCCTGCTACAGCTGCTGCTGCTGCTGCCGCTCTTGCTACAGCTGCTGCTTCTGCTAGTGCTACAGCTGCTCCTGCTCGTGTTATAACTGCTACAGTTTCCAGTGCTCATGCCATGCGTGGGCTCAGTGTTCGTTTGCCCCTGTCTCCTCCCTCGTACACCCCATCTGCTAGAGCTACTACAGCTGCTAACTGTACTGATTCGCATGCTACAGGTGCTCGTTTCAATTCTGGTTCCTCGCCGTTTCGGCCAGGTGTTATCTCGCATGCTCCCCCTGCTTCCACGCGTGTTACTGACGCACGGCTTGCCGCAGGTGCTCGCTTCTCTGCTGCTCCTGCTGCTCCTGCTGCTGCTGCTGCTGCTCCTGCCGCTAACGCTTTCCTAGCTTCCGCGGATGCTGCGTCTTCTGTTGCTGCTGCTGCTGCTCTATCCCTTGCTGCCTTGGCCTCTGCAGAGTCCCTGACTCCCGGCTCTGAGCATTTTCTGCGACTTTTGATGCAAGGAGGGGGAGATACAGGCACAGTGGCTCCGCCTGTGGATGTTTCTGCTTTGACCGCTGCTGCTTCTGCTGTTTCTGCTGCTACTTCTGCTGCTGCTAATGCTGCTGCTGCCGCTGCTCCATCTGCAGTTGCGTCTTCCGCAGCCTGGGCACCGCAAACTGCAATGACCACTCCTCTGGTAACATCCGTCAGCCTACCAGCGATAGGAGCCAGACACAGGCACTGACACCACAGGATCCACGCACTCCCCTCCTCTATCCTCCCGCCTGCTCTCCTCCCGTGCATTTGGCGAATTGACTCCCCAGCAGCTCATCACAGAACTGGAGGCCTGGGATGTGGGGGTTTGGAGAGAGGGTCTGCTGATCGAACGGGCACGGCAGCAGCAGCGGCAGCAAGAACAGCAGCGGCAGCTAGAGCAGCAGCAGCAGCAGCAGCAGCAGCAGCAGCAGCAGCAGCAGCAGCAGCAGCAGCAGCAGCAGCAGCAGCAGCAGCAGCAGCAGCAGCAGCAGCAGCAGCAGCAGCAGCAGCAGCAGCAGCAGCAGGAACAGCGGCAGCAGCAGCAGCGTCGGCACCAGCAGCAGCAGCAGCAGGCTGACTTAGGCACTGGTTTTACAGGAAGAGGGCTAGGAAGGAGCAGAAGTCAGGGCCATGCTTCCTCCAGGAATCAAATCTTCAACTCCTCTAGTATAATTGGGGCAAGCGAGAGGGGTAGGTTATCCTTCGATTTTTATGAGAGCAGGATTACACTACAGCTAGGCAGGCCTGCCTATGATGATGTTTTCATGCAAGAGGAGGAGCAGTAGGTTCAGAGGGGATATTCAAACTTCAAATCGGCTGGCGAGGGAATTAGACTAATTCGAGGTTGATGAGAGCAGGATTAAACTCCACCCGTGCAGGCTTGTTCATAATGATCCTTCCATGCATGAGGAGGAACCATTGGCTGAGAGCGAATCCAGCTTTTGCTGGATTTGATGGTTGTAGCCTGCTGAGGCTTAAGCTGCAGTTTTTGTTGGACGTTATTGTCAGCTCTAAATATATTGTATCTATACGAGCGCTATATATATACACACATATATATAATATATGCCCACATTGAAGACCCTCGGATGGGGATGAAGGAGGGGTGGGGGAATGAAATGGGGAAGTGGAAGAGGGGGAAGGGAGGGGTGAGAGTTTACTGTCTTCTATTTGGTATGTCGTAAGACCCTTTCAGATTCGAGTGATTAGCAAGTGTACATCCTCGTCTGGTCTACTATCGTATGAGCTTGGACCATGGCCTTCCCTCGCTCCCCCATTCTACATTTTCCTACGTTTCACCACATTAGCATGTTACAGAAAGTTACTAACTAGAACCAGCGTTATTTTGTCTCATTGACAGGAAATGATAAGGTCCAGTATCTGCTGGTATCCAATATACCACATGCACTTCCAGAATTCCAATTTGATATTTAGTGTGTTAGTTAGTGTTAGGCCCCTTGGCCTAAATCCGCTAAAGAATAGCGGGGTCGACTAAGTCGAGGACGAAATGCGGCGGAAGACTTTGGCGAAGAAAGGATTAGCGAAATAGGGGAAGAAGTAACTGAGTAATGGTTCAATGAGAATTGATTGATAATGGCAAGTACAAGCAAGGTTGATATAGCATGCAAAATCGAATGTCGGAAAGTACTTTGTGGGACTAGGAAATGTAAGGCAATGAGAGTAGAGTGCCACGTGGCACTTGGGAATCTTGGAAGATAAGATGGGGATGAGGTTGGAAAGTACTGTTCAAAGGGAATAGTAAATCCCCCTCTAACACTACTCCCCTCCCAAGGAGGCGACATCTGCGGCGCCTGCAGACTGAAGGTACGCTTGGAGGCAAGTGTTGTCAGGAGATAGCGAGGACGAAGGAACCCAGCTGTTGTCTGCTGCGTCGTAACCACACCAACGAACCAAGAAGTCGACGAAAGAGACACCCCCCTGGAGACGACGACGGTGCCTAAGGATGTGCTGGATCTGGTAGTCGGGCTCGTCGATGTCAACAGCTACCGGCAGTGGAGTGCGATCACAGCCCGAGAAGGTGGCGTTGAGATCGGTGTATGGACGGAGGAGAGACACGTGGAATGACGGGTGCATGTGGAAATGAGCGGGAAGGCGGAGGTGGTATGCGACTGGACCTAGTGCGCACTCAATGACGAATGGACCAATGTAACGAGGGCGAAGCTTGCTGCCCTGTGGCAGTCGGAGGTTGCGGCTGTTGAGAAGGACACGGTCGCCAACTGAAAACGACACCTCACGACGACTGCGGTTGGTGTTGCGTGCCATGCGTGCATTTGCGAGCTCAAGGTGCTTCCTCACGTGATCATGAATGAGGGTGAGATGCTGGTGGAAGTTGTCCGCACGAGGGACAGTGGGTGTGAGATCGACACGAGTGGGGACATTGGGGTGCTGACCGTACAGTGACATGCTTGTGGACGAGTGATGGGTGTTGTTGTAGGCGAACTCGGCCAAGCTCAGCTTCTTGTCCCATGCGGTTGCGTCGTGCATCGTGATGCTGCGAAGAATCTGCTCCAAGATCTGGTTTACACGCTTGGTCTGTCCGTCTGTCTCGGGATGGTTTGCAGACGACATGGCTAAGCGAGTCCCAAACAGCACGAAAAGCTGCTTCCAGAACTTCGAAGTGAAACGAGGGTTGCGATCGGAGATGATGGAATTTGGAACCCCGTGCAGTCAGACTACGTTATCTACGAACAGCGTCGCGGCTTCCTCTGATGTGACCTTGCCGTGCGTGGGGATGAAGTGCGCTGCTCGAGAAAACTTATCCACTACCACGAAGATGGCGTCATGACCCCTAACTGTGCGCGATAAAGCCATGATGAAATCCATGGTAACTACCTGCCAAGGATGGTCGGGCGGTGGAATCGGCTGCAAAAGTCCTGCTTTGCGCTGGCGAGAGGACTTCGTATACTGACACGTGTCGCACGAGCGAATGTAATCCTCTACATCTGCTGCAATCCCTGGCCAAAAGTACGTGCGACTAAGCGTCTTAGCCGTCTTATCTGCTCCGAAGTGACCCGCGCTAACTACATCGTGCGCCTCGGAAAGAAGTTGTCGAAGAGGGCTGTAGGCTGGAACCCGAACCCGTGTGGTACCCTTCTGTATGTAGACACTACCCTGCACCTCTGCTCCTGCGGATGGCTGTGGTGTGAAGTCGGGATCTACTGTGTAACCGTGCTCAAAGAGTGCTGTGAGGAGTGGATGGCCGGCAGCGAGCTGGCAACTAGGGCGAGTGAGTGGATCTGCTGGGTTGCGAACGCCTGGCTTGTACTCTATCCTGTAGTGGAAACTCCCCTCCATGAACTCCATCCATCTAGTCTGGCGACGACTCAGCTGCGGCTGCGAATTGAGAAAGCGAAGCGAGCAATGGTCCGTGCGTATAACACTATCTGCCCCCTCTAGGTAGCACCTCCACACCTTACACGCATGGATGATCGCTAGTGCCTCCTTGTCATGAAACGGATTATTCAGCCCGGCTCCCCTCAGCTTACGCGACTGGTACATGATTGGCTGCAACCCGCGTCCCTAGTCCTGAAGAAGCACTGCTCCAATGGCCCGATCTGATGCGTCGGTCACTACAACGTACGGGCGAGTGGGATCTGGGTACGACAGTGTTGGTGAAGACGTGAGCGACTGCTTCATCTGCTCGAACGCCTGCTGCTGTGCTGGACCCCAATCAAAATCTAGCGAAGCCCTTCTGAAGTAGGTCGGTGAGTGGACTAGCGATCGATGCATAACCCTGAACGAAACGACGGTAGTAATTTGCGAATCTGAGAAAGCTCTGCAAGTCCTTGACCGAGGTCGGAGCTATCCAGTCCTGTACTGCTGCGATCTTCTTCGGGTCGGTCCTAATGCCACTAGCAGATACGACGTGACCTAGAAACTCGACTTCGAGGAGGAAGAACTCGCACTTTGACTGCTTAGCGTACAACTGCTCCTTCCGCAAGACCTCGAAGACCTTATGCAAGTGTTGCACGTGCTCCTCATTCGTCTTCGAGAAGATAAGGATGTCGTCTATGTCAGAATGTTATAGTGCTTTGTGTAGGCTATAGTGGGGTAGCCCATAAGGGGTACAACCCAATTAGGGTTAGTACTTGTACCCAACTGTTTCATAGTTCATTCATTCTCATTCGTGATTCTGACATGGTTTCATAGCAAGTCCTTCGTTAGGACCGTTTTTTTTGGGCCCACCACAGCGCTGCCCCACTAGTCGCCCTGCTGCCCCTAGCGACCCTCGTGTCGCCCTTGCTGCCCCTTGCGCCGCCCTCGTGCGGCCCTCTCTGTCGACCCTAGGCCCCGGCGCCCCGTCGACCTTAGGCCCCTGGTGCCCTGTCGACCCTAGGCCCCGCGCGCCCCCGTCGACCCTAGGCCCAGGCCCATCCCGTCAACCCTTGTCCCGCGCGCCCCGTCAACCATAGGCCCGCGACCCGCCCCGTCGACCCTCGGCCCCGGTGCCCAGTCGACCCTAGGCCCCGGACCCGCCCCGTCGACCCTAGGCCCGCGTGCCCCGTCGACCCTAGGCCCGCGCGCCTCGTCGACCCTAGGCCCGCGACCCGCCCCGTCGAACCTCGATCCCGGTGCCCCGTCGACCCAAGGCCCCGGACCCGCCCCTTCGACCCTAGGCCCGCGCGCCCCGTCGACCCTAGGCCCGCGCGCCCCGTCGACCCTAGGTCCGCGACCCACCCCGTCGACCCTCGGCCCCGGTGCCCCGTCGACCCTAGGCCCCGGACCCGCCCCTTCGACCCTAGGCCCGCGCGCCCCGTCGACCCTCGGCCTCGGACCCGCCACGTCGACCCCAGGCCCCGGCGCCCTGTCGACCCTAGGCCCGAGCGCGCCCCGTCGACCCTAGGCCCGTGCGCCCCCCCCCCCCCCCCCCTCGACCCTCGGCCCCGGATCCGCCCCGTCGACCCTAGGCCCGCGCCCGCCCCTTTGACCCTAGGCCCCAGTGCCCCGTTGACCCTAGGCCTCCGGCCCGCCCCTCTCCCCTGCAGCCTGCGAGCTGCCCTTGCAGCCCCGCGCACCGCCTCTGGTGGTCCTCTAGCCGCCCCTGCTGCTCTGCTAGCCGCCCCTTGCGGTCCTCTCTCTGCCCCTTGCTGCTGCGCTGCCCTGCTTCTCCCTGCTCTGCGTTCTGCGCCACTATGGCTTCTCTCCGCGTGCTAGCGTTTGATCATGAGGACCGTCCTATACAGTTTGACACGTGGCTCGACGACCTCCAGCTGTACCTACTTAGCGACTCTAGGGACAGCGTTTCGTTGTTTGACCACACGTCTGGCGCCGCTCCTGCCCCTCCCGCCACAGCTGACAGTGCGACTCGCTCACAGTGGCTTACTCGTGACGGTGCTGCTCGCTTAGCCATTCGCAACCACCTGCCACTGGCCGAATGCGCTCACTTCGGACAGCATAGGACAGCACAGGCACTGTACGATGCAGTAGTCGCCCTTTACTCCTCCCCTGCCACTGCTGCTCTCGGCCGTCTTCTACTGCCCTACCTGTTTCCCGAGCTGTCCGCCTTTGCCACAGTAGAGGACCTGGTTTCCCACCTTCGCACTAGCGATGCTCGCTACCGCGTTGCCCTCCCTGCAGAGTTCCTTGACAGGAACCCACCCCCGATGTACATCACTCTCTACTTTATAGTCACCCGCCTCCCTGACTCTCTTCGCGCTGTCAGGGACCACTTTCTCGCACTTGACCCCACAGCTCTCACTGTTGACCTACTCGAGCAGCACCTCCTTGCAGCTGAGACTAATGTAGTCGCTGTAGGTGCTGCTCGTGGCACTCCGCGCACGCCCTTCTTTGAGGGGTGTGCTCCCCCTCCCCCCTTGCCCCCTCCTACGCCTCTGCTGCCGCTGTTTACGTCCTTGGTGCTGAGGATGTCGGGGCTGATTTTGCTAGTGCGAAGCACCGCAACAGCAAGGGCAAGGGTGGCGAGGGTGGTGGTGGTGGCAGCGGGGGTGGTAGTGGGGGAAGCAGTGGAGTTGGTGGAGGCAGTGGAGGTGGTGGCAGTGGTGGGAGTGGTGGCGGGAGTGGGGGCTTTGGTGGCGGCGGTGGAGGCAGCGGTGGGAGTGGCGGTGGTGGCAGCGGTGGGAGTGGTGGCAGTCGGACTAGAGGTTCTGAAGGAGGTCAAAGGCAGCAGCGGCAGCGTCGGAGCGAGACCCCGTTGCCCCAGCAGCTTCGTGAGTGGTTTGCTCAGCGTGGGGCGTCTGGGGGTAGTGTTCTCTGCCCGTATGTCATTCGCACGGGTGACCGTGCTGGTCAGACATGCGGGAAGCTTCACACTCAGCACCACTGCTTCTCCCGCCTCGAGGACGCTTGGCGCGCAGAGTTTGGTGACAAGGCCGAGCGCCCTCGCTGGGCAGAGCTGCTTAGGACTGGAGTTGCTATCTTTGACCTAGACTATGATGCTATCCTTGCTGCTATGTATGCTCTGTTTGTTAGTGCTGAGGATGACTGTTACCTGTGTGTGCCGCCTGACCCAGGTATAGAGGCTGCTGCTCTAGGTGCTAGTGAGTCTGTTCTCGCTGGTACTACGCCTGCTAAGGCCTTGCACACCTTCACACTTGACTCAGGTGCCTCACGTTGTTTCTTTCGCGATAGCACCACCCTCACTCCTGTCTTTGCACCTGTACCAGTCAGGTTGGCTGACCCCTCAGGGGGGCCAGACCTTGCCCGTTCCTCCACTGTTCTCCCGTGTCCGGCGGTTTTGTCCGGCTCACTGTCAGGTCTTCACCTCCCCTCAATCTCTACGAACTTGGTGAGTACCGCTGCCCTCCAGGACGCGATGGTCACTACCACCACTCCTGGGGGTCAGCGTGTGACGATTTGCACGTGTACACGGACGGGCCGTCACCTGGCCATGTTCAATCATCGGCCAGGGTCGAGTCTGTACACACTTGCTACCAAGCCTCCTCACGTAGCTGCGTCTGCCCAGGTGTCCGCGTCAGGTCAGGTAGCACCCCCTTGCTCGTGTCGCCTCCTGTCGCACCAGACTCTTCTATGGCACCACCGCCTGGGTCACCCCTCCCTGCCACGCCTTGGTGGCATGCACTCCCGCCTCCTTGTTTTTGGTCTTCCCAGGTCTCTGCCTCCCCTTCCACCCTCGCCTGCCCCGCCGTGCCTTCCTTGCGTTGAGGGGCGGCAGCACACCGCTCCTCACTCCTCCTCGTTTCCCCCGACGACTGCTCCCCTGCAGACTCTCCACATGGACGTGTGGGGCCCAGCCCGCGTTAGTGGACAGGGCCGCGAGCGCTACTTTCTGTTGGTTGTTGACGACTACACGCGCTACACCACGGTCTTCCCCTTGCGCAGCAAGGGTCAGGTCGTTGATGTCTTGATCCCTTGGATCCGCACAGTCCGTCTCCAGCTCCGCGAGCGGTTCCGCCAGGAC